CATGCGATATTTCTTAAACACTTTCATTTTATGTTTTACAATGTTGTCACAAAATATGCAGCACATAGTATACATGTAAACAGCAGGTCTTTGAGGTTTAAATTCAGAGTCAGTGTTATGTTCCTGTCGCGATCATCACGATGCATCGTAGTAGTCCCAGTCGATGAGGTGGACCTTTTCTTTCCTGTTTCCTCCTCTGTGGGTTTACCTTGCATTTGAGTGCATCACTGGTACGTTTGTATCCTCTTACTGCAAATTAATTGCTCATCACTGACCTCGTTGTCGTAGGCTTACATTGGAGTTGCTGCACTTGCTCGGAGCGAGTGATTTGTACAACGTCCCGGAATACCTGTAGCTTTGCACAAATCTGACACGACACAGGACAGTTTATGACGCCCCAGTTGCTGTGCAGTGTACCACACGTTGCCTTTAGGGTTAGCCAGAGGTCAGGCGCGGATCCGGGGCGGGGCCGTCAACTCCCCCAGCTCTGTCAAATTTTTTTTGCATAGAAATTGCTAAAAACTAATTTGAACCCCCCCCCTGCTCTGAACCCCCCCACCCGAAAATTTTTGTTATACGGGTTTAATGTCCGCCTGTTCCAAATACGGACATAGGCTGCTTAGATACGGGGTATTTGTACACAATTCTGTAATCTAGTGTATAATAATCGTCGAATTTGAACAGCGCCCCCTATTGAAATATGGTACCAGCCCTCCCATCCCCACCTTCACCTACCCACCCCCTCGATCGCCCCCAGTTTTTGATTTTACGGAGGCCAAGTGTCCGGAGAAGAAAACCTGTCTACATTTCCTATTTGTTTTGCTGATAACCCCCCCCCCCCCTGCAAAAATTGCCAGATCCGCCCCTGGAGGTCTAAGGTAGAAGGCGTCTGTTGCTCGCTGGGCTGGACAATGCTGTAGGTACATTTCATACAGTCTCACAATGCAGCGGAACGGATTGGCTTTGTTTTCGTGAGCGTCCACAACTTTGGGATTAATTTTGCGATGTTTAAGCCCGCCCTGATTTGCCTTGGAGACATCTTCAGCATAGTGTAGACACTTCCCACCATCCTTGTCTGTGGAGACAGCTGCGAATTGCGGTTTCGCAAATTCCTCGGGCATTATCCTTTACTTAACATTTAATTGTTGGACCACTGCAGGTATTCAAAGAATTCTGCCTCTGACATGAAAGCACGAATTAATAGGACTTAGACAGAAACAAAACGGGCGTCAAAGTTTAAGTAAATTCGAGCCCCCCTCCCCTCGTCCTTATCCCTTCCCCCACCAACCAACCACCTTCGCATTTTGTGAGTGCAACGGAAAATCTTGAACGTGCATCAGTTTTCTTGGCCCCCGAAATATTGCTTCTGAATTCTCCTTGGTATGTACTATACACGGAGACACAACGACGAGTATTACGCGCATTGCGTGGGCTCAACCATCCTTTGTATCGGCAACAGCGCTTCTGTGTATGGAGGACGCTATGAAAAATTGATATATGGATAAAAACTGAATTGATTTCTAGTCATGCTTGGGAAATTAATTTGGCAATTTTGTCGAAACGATGAAGCAGGTGGCAGGCAGTTAATGGTTGTGCTCTTTTATGTCTTTCCCCGCTGTCACTGAATTATAAATCATAATGGTAGCATTCTACGCTTGGCCTGCATCAGGGGAAAACGACTTTTAGTTTCTACTACATGTAAACCATACACTGTTCAAGTGTTAACAAGAAAATAAATAAAGGTGTGCGACGGTAGAACAACTCTCAATTTGAAAAGGTTGCTTTCAATATCCCGTTTATTGTCTGTCTTATATTGCAGAAGTGCGGAGGTTTCAATTAAATCCGAAAAGGGGGCTCATTCAACTTCGAATGTCTACTCTCCATGTAAGGAGTCGTTTTCATTTGGTGCTTTTAACTGTAAAAAAATCCCTCGTTCTCAAAATACAAAATGTCACTGAGGTATGTGTTTGGTACGCAAAACCAATCAAATTCAAACTATATTGATCTCGAAACTCAAAACTTCGAAACGCGGCTGCACATGGGGTCACTCCCCGACTACCAATTTTGCTTGGCACAAACAACACGACGTCGAGCGCCGTTCTCTAGGCTATATGAAAATAAGTGCTAGAATGAACAATGTAATACAGAAACAGAATAATATGCATCTTAAGTAATCTTCAATTTAATTTGACGTTGACTGAATGTTATCAGTAACATGGCCGGCACTGGACCATTTTGTATTTAGCCCCGCCCACGTATGATTTGTATATACTTCTCTCATTGGTTGCCAGCGAGTTTAGAACTAGCTCCAGTGGTCACCTGACCAAAATCTGTGATCTAATTGGTCAAAGCGTATTAAATGATCGACATGAAAGACAACTTTATTCACATGAACATGCAGATGGTTATGTTTATAACTCCGTGTTCTGTACTTAAGAGATGCGACGAGGGTTATGCGTACTCTTCCAGCGTGAACGAATAACAAAAAAGGGGGGAAACGAGAAGCACCTCAATTATGCATTTCTCTCGGCACTGCGCTTTAGTGAATTACACAATTGTGGAATGATAAACGTAGTAAAATCCATTTCCATCCATTTAAAAAAGACCATTAGCAGACACGAGGCAGAAAACGGGTAGTTAATGGTTCGGTTTCTTTGTGTGAATTCCAACAAATACCGTATAATTAATGATACACACGAGATAAAACGACGTAGATATTATCATGCATGGTTCACCACCGACCCTTTTTTTGTTGGGGGGGGGGGAGTATTTTTCTTCTTTCTCCTCCTATGAACCAAATACTCATTTGTGTGGGCGTCGACAGAGGGGGAGAAAGAGGGGATAAACAAAATACAGGAAAGAGTAATATCATCAAAGAAAATTGTCGAAAACAAGATCATCTTATCAATTAAATACATTTTTAGCAATTCAAACTGTTGAAAAGAGGCTTAAAACGCGGTCACATGAATATCCTCATGTCGATTTTGAACACGGACACCCAAGCGACAAATGCCGATTACCTCCATAGACAAAACTCAACCCCTAACGTCATCCCCCATCCCTGCACTCCTCGATATTTTTACTGTGGTACTTGAGTGGGCTCAGCCCTCCCCCCTTCAGAAAATGTTATGGAGACACCCATGCTTGTAAGCACGGGAGACGATCGGGAGCAGTCAACATGTCTGGTCTAGAAAGCAGGAGTGATTTTTTTTACATTCACTCGGGATGTAACACACTGAGTATCTAGTATACAGTGTTTTATGTAAGTCAGTGAAGGGCAAAACCTGATATTGAATTGATTTCCAAATAAGTGCTTGAATGAACAACGGAATACAGAAAAAGGAGATTATCCATCCTAAGAAATCGTCAACCTTAACTTTGACTGAATGTTACCGGTAACATGGCAGGGACTGGACCGTTACGTTTGTGGCCAGTGCCCTTATTGGTCAATGCATATTGTATTACCGACATGCAAGACGAGTTTATTGGCATGAACCTGCAGATACCTAAGTATAGCTCCATGTACAATACGTAAGAGATGCCACGAGGGCTAGGCGTTCACTGCCAGCGTGAACGAATAATAATAATCATAAAAACACAGAGAAGCTCTTAAATCATTTATTCCTCTCGGTTCTGCGCTTCAGTGAATTACACAGTTACGGAGGGATGAATATGGCGCAGAATTCATTTCTTCCCATTAAAAAAACGATTAACAGACACAAGGAACAAAACAGGTAGTAAATGGCTCAGTTCCTTTGTGTGTTTCCCTGTAAATACCGAATTATTAATGGTACAATTCATCAGAGTTAACACGACATATATATTATCGCACATGATCCACCCACCAGGCAGTTATTTTTTGCGGGGGTGGGGATTTTCTTTTTTCCCCAGTGCTTTTTTTTTGCTATTGAAGCTGTTTTTCTTCGTACTTTTCTTATTTATCCAGATACTATTTACTCGTGAGGATGGGCGTCGCGAGAGTAGCAGGCTAAATATGATGATGAAAACACAAGATGGTCGCAAACAATATTATCTAATTAAATAAATCTCACTCTTTACCAAACCATCCCCTCCCCTTCTCGATATTTATACTGCCGGTAATTCCTGAAATTCCTGGCTCACGGGATAGGGGAGGCGAGTCCTCCCCATTCCCCAGCAATATTTTGGTGAGGGACGAGAACGCGGTGACTCCCCCAATCCCTCTCAATACATGGTCCCAGAGCATATTATTATTGTAACAAAATTAAAAGTAGCTTCACAATAAATTATTCTCTCCCAGTATTACCGGTGAAAGGTGTTGCTCTTTTAACACCCATTGTCCGTTGATGCAACAATGTGAGGAATAGACGTAAAACGTGTACATACAGACATGCAAGTATGAACAGCGCCCCTTTAGTAAGGTGTCGTCTTCCCCCACCCCCTTTTCTAAGCCGTTGGTTCCCCGCACTCTGGCAAGAATTGGCCACTGTTGGCACTTGTCGTTATATAGGTAATTTTACAATTTAAACCCACTCAACTTTCTCCTCGAAACAATTGTATTTTATTCAAAAGTCAAATCAAAGAAATTTTCCGAATTTGTCTTAAAATCCAAAAAAAAAGTCGTGGAAGAAAATCTAGGCTATTGAAACACGCACTGTGAGTGTTACAAAGGTGTAATGGCCACTCTAATACTATATTGCGTCGTGAACATGTCGCATTCACATTGATATCTCACTCAGGTACTCCGGTGTTTGAAATTGATAAATAAAACTGTCGAATAAAGCAATTGATTGCAATATTACCAGCTCCCACTTAAACCCCGCCCATCTTGTTAACGTGTACCAATGAGAGAAAAGAATGTGATTGATCTAATTCGTGCTCTTTCCTGATTGGCTAGCTGGTTATGACGTCATGCTGTTGATCAGTCTGCGAAGCGAAGCTGCCGGGGCGAGCTGGGGTGGTTTGTGTGCACGGTGATATACCATCAACCTGACGGATTCTCAGTCATTGCATCTGTGACAATGGACGGAGCAGTAGCTTGGATTCTGATGGCATCAGCACTGACAGGTAGGTGGAAGTTTGATCTGTGAAGAAGTTTATTTTGATAACCAGAAATAACATGTAGCATCCAAACGCAACTTTGGTGAATTTAAACATCGACAAAGACAATTCGTAGTGTTGAAAGACTTGGCAAGTATTTCCTGGCAATTACAAATGAATTCATATTTTTTTCAATCCCTGCTTTTCTTTTTTAACTTATCCAAAATGACAGACTGCACTCGATCTGCCCATCTGAGGATTCAGCCTACACTTCATGCAGTTTAAAAAAAAAAACACGTGGAAACAAAATTATGTACAAAACATTAAGTCATCATTGTTTGTAAGACGAAATGCAGTTTCTTTCGTCCCATTTTTTTAATAGTCGGAGAGATGAAGTGATGTTTGTGTTCCGAAGATACACACAGTAGACAGTGACCGGTGTTTTTGGATTTTTTGTGCCGTGTTATATCCCAGCGCCAGCAGTCCGACCAATTGCACTACTGTTTTTGATTAATCAGGGCCGTAGGTAGGAAAATGGGGGAGGGGGAGGTGCTGAGTGAAACCTCCACCCGAATTATTATCCAGTCGGTGTTTTGAGACTCTGTCGGTCAATCACCACCAAATTAACATTCGTAACAGCACGGGCGTTGATGGAGGGCGGTTGAGGTGGTGTAACGGGTATGGCAATTAAAATTTGTTGTCGGTAAAATCCTCGTTCTGTCGACCACATCGTGTGTCACTCGGTAAATGATGCCGCCCTGAATAACGTCAACTAATGTCCTAAAGTTTTAAAGATTTGTGAACAACCCATCACCCACCCTTCAACCCGAAACAAAGGTCGGTGTCAGTCTCCCATTTTTATTATTTTTTTTGCGGCAGCCCGGTGATCGGAGAAAGTCTACCTTCCCAGCAGGATGTCCTTGTGGCAAATTGTTGTCATAGTCCCACCCCCATTCAAATTGGTCTGACCAACGGCTCTGGTTGATTGCAATGACAGCAGCTCAAGAATGTTACTGATAATTCATAAAACTGTACAGGACTCTTTCCTTCTGAGTAATCAGAGTTAATTTATTTGAATTCACCAAACGGTGTATTGGGAACTCATCACGCAATTTTTTGTGTCAAAGTAACAAGTAACAAAGATATTGATATTGTGATGCTTACGATTTATCGCAAGATGGCACTTAACCCATCCACTCTGCTTTGTATAGGGGGGTAAAGTTTCCATATTTTGCTTTCCAATATTAAAGATGCTCATCTTTCAAATTTTGAGCAAGAGGGCGCTTTACCCACCCACTTTGCTTTGTATGGGCAAACGGGTTCCATAGTTTGCTTTCCAATATTATACATGCTCATCTTTCAAACATTCAGCACCTTGGTAACCACTAGAAGGGCCGTAAAAATCATTTTCACCACTTCGGAAATAATGATAATTGTGTTGCATTGCATTTTAATACCGCGAGAGGGCGCTGGACCCCTCCACTTTGTTTCATATGGCAAACATCGTTTACATTTTTTTGCATTCCAATCATTAAATTCTGTAGAATGAAACTCATTTTTCAAACTTTTGATACTTTATCACTAGTTGGCGGTATGAATCCTTCTCACCACTTTGGACATTATTTGTTATTGTTCCGTTAGATTTACTGCGAAAGGGCGCTTCAAAAATCCAACTTAGTCTGATTTCAAATATTTGTTCAATTCGATTGTTAGTGTCATTTGACTTTAATATCGTTTAAACTTTAGCACCTTGCATTGTTATCACTGGGTGGCGGTATAATCCTTTTCACCACTTTGCAATAAGCCTGCGTCGCAATTACTTGGCTACGACTAGAAATTACACATGTGGCTACGGAAGCGGCTTCAGCCACTTCCCCGGCATAGACTGTGTGTTATTGCTAGTCGTAACCAAGTAATTTGTACATGACCGAACTGAATGATATTGGTTGCGATAGATCTATCGCGAGAGGGCGCTTTAACCATCCACCCTGTTTTGTATGTGAAAAAAATGTTTCCATGGTTTTGCATTTGAATGTTTGTTCCATTCATTTCTTGTGTCATTGGACTCATAGTACTGTTGGCATTTTGGTTATCACTGGGCAGGCATAAATCATTTTCACGACTTGGTGGTGGGGGCGGGGTCTTTATATTTTACATCTGAATTCGAATCATTCGCTGAGTACGCTTCAAATACAGTCAAGATGGGATTGTTCTGATATTAGATAATTCTTTTATGAGGAAAACTTTCAGTAACGATGATATGAAAAACTAAAAGTCCTGACGCGTCGGCGACATTCACCAAGTTTAAAAGCCAAAAGTGGATTTTGGAAGGAAAACCGAAAAACGGAGTAACGGACATTATCAAATCCACAAGATGTGCCCAATGGTATTCGAACCTTGGTCACCAATGGTACATGCTAATCAATGTTGCACCACAAAACTAATCTTAACATTTACATATTTTTTTCTTTTTCTTTTTTTGCGTGCATGTTTACGAAAAATGTAGTGTTGGCCTCATGCCACAAAGTCTGCTTCATTGGATCTGAGTACAACCCCCAAGCTGGTATCCCACCCCGTTGGTTCCTGCCGTACAAAGATCCATGCGAATGCACCGCTGTACGTCTCGGTGGCGTGAATGTTCCTGCCTCGTCATACCGCCAGGGGGCGCCCCACTACCTAAAGGAGCTCTTCCTGAGTGAGGACTCCGACGAAATTCAAGCTTACTTCAAGTGCAGTCGGGCGACTGCTGCTAGTGGAACGACTACTGCCAGTGGAACGACTACTGCTGGTGGAGCGACTTCTGCTGGTGGAGCGACTACTGCTGGTGGAGCGACTTCTGCTGGTGGAACGACTACTGCTGGTGGAGCGACTTCTGCTAGTGGAACGACTAATGCTGGTGGCCCGACTACAGTTAGTCAAACGACTGGAGTTAGTACAGGTAATACTTCCGGCTCTAATTACTGCTCCATTTCAAACTGCATTGTAAAAACAATGCCCGTAAAATTTACGGTCAAAAGTCGTGCAGCGAAGTTTCACCTGTCTACCGTATTATAGTCTGCAATTACTGCTTCTTTTCACGTGCATCGTATTTTCGAAAAAAAAAAAACCCGAATGGTGCTAATTTTTTTTCATTGAAACTCTGCAACGTGTATCATAGGATTCATTAGAATTGAAAACATTAAACATTTGCTTCATTTTAAAACTGGGCTGTATAAGGCTTGTGAAGGATTTACCGTAAAGTAAAACGTCCTTCATGTAGAAACTGTCTTATGCTTCAGGAGTAGCCCAGTCTTCCTTGGATTGTTTCGAATACTAAATTTCCGTGATGTTAGCATTTGGGACCTGCCATATCATAATGAGGAATTACCCCCACCTTTGACTTTTCAAGTTACCTTCATCATGTTAAATCGCAAATCATTGGCTTTCCAATGATACCAAATTTATTTCTGTAGCTTTAATTTTTTCTAAAGATACGCTACGGGAAATTCAACACTGTCCCGCCGAATTTCGCCAACCCCGCTTCGAGAAAAACGGCTTTGAAAAAAAGAATTACGCATTGCGCCGCCAACGGCAGTGGAAAACGTTCTTCAGTTCCCAACTTTTGGGGATTTTTTTTCTCAACAAAAATGCATAGTGTGAAGCAAAAGAACGTAGTGAAATCTAGTTCATTGATCAGCAGGACTTCATTAAACACAATTTTAGAAAGACATTTTTCTTTTGGGTGATATGAAAAAGTGAAATTCCCCGGATTCGAATCCGCAGCCTGTAGCATTATGAAAAGCGACCTAACCTAAGAGCTATAAGGACCTAACGCATCAGTTCAAGGTGATGCCACGCTTCCCCCGTAAAATCTAATTCAAATCACGTGACTGCCTATTAAATCACGCATGTTTTTCAAGCATGTGTATTTAACGTAAATGCCTTCAGTAGCCTGCAGAAAAAAAGGTGCTACCAGTGGTAAGGAAATAAAAAGCAAATCCAGTCTTTGGCCAAGACTACCCTACGGCCGTTGGCTAGTCTCCGTCCCCATCCGAAAAGTCGAAGCGCACATAGACCCCCCCAGGATTTACTCCCGTGCCCTGCCAATTGAAATTGAGTTCATTTCAATCTAGGAATACACCCATATACTAATGCCCGAATCAGCCGACGAGAATATCATTTACACACGCACCGGTCAATCTGGGTTAGCTGACCACATAGTGTCAGTTTCTGATCCTCCCCAACAAAAATGTAAAAAAATGTGAAGGGGGGGGGGTGCGATTTGATATTTAAACATTGATATGGTTTCTCTTCTCGCTTGGCAGCAAACGCTGAGTGTCCGAATCCACAGCCTCTTGGTATGGAAGACGGGTCAATACCCAATGATCACATCACGGCGTCCAGTGCTCGTGAATGTTGCCCTACCCAGAATGGACGGCTGAACAGTGGCGATGTATGGAAACCATCGAGGTAGGTATCAAAGGAAACCATCGTTAGCTACCACAAATTACACCCCACACTTACATGATAAAGACCTTATACAAAGACGGAAGACATTTCATTCAATCTGATTTTATTTTGGTCCTAGCCGGCAAAATAGTTTATTTAACGAAATCAACTACTTTTTGTTTATTTAATATGTCTGCCACTCCCTCAATTACTGTTTTTTAAAGGTTGCCCAGGCAAGTCCGGTTTCCTGGTCCCTACACTTTCGAATATGATAGGAGGGGCGGAAACCAGTCTACCCTGAGACAACTTCATTATTTTCGGGCAGCAATTAATTGGACATTTATTTCGTAATTATTCCTTAAATGGAAGAAGGCCGATATATTTGTCTAATGACTCATTCAAAAGTCAGTAAGTTCTGTATTTGTAGAAAGATTCAAAAGAAATAATTTTTTTTTCAGATGAAAGTCCAAATAGTACTGATAAAGCCTAAATGAACTCCACTAGTTACATTAATATAAAAAGTGTTGACACATTCAGATTAAAAGTTTTGAAAATGCTTTAATGGTTTAATCGCGTTCAGTTTTTGTCAATCCCTCTCCTGATAAAAGCGGGTGTTTTTTTGCGGAGCATGTTTATTTCATTGTTCTCCACCTCCATCCGATCTTTGTACACAGAAATGAAGGTTCCTGGATCGAGGTGGACCTGGCCAACAGTAGTGTGGTGTCTGGCGTTATCACAAAAAGCTGGGTGAACGGGCAGCACACTGGATATGTAAAGAAGTATAAAGTGGCATTTTGGAAGCAGTCCACATCCGATTCCACATATGTGACAGATGCAAACGGAAACGCCGAGGTACATTGATCAGAATTTTCTTTCTTTTTAGCCCACCTTTTTGTATTATCAAATCAAAGCATCCACGTACCCGTCAACCGCTACGAGTGGAATTACCCCATCACCCTCTTTTATGCAATATTACCAATAAAACGAAATTTAAAATTGCTCGCTTTGAAGAGCACCCACCTATATAGTACCTAATTGAGAACAGCCATACGTTGTATGCAGCCCCCTTGCCTCTGTTTTGTATTGTGGCGGCTGGGTGAGCGCAGACAAATTCCTGGCTACCTTCCGCCGAGAAATGGTCTGTCAGTGATCCTCGCCAACGAAGTGCGTACGGTACTGATAAGGGCCCTGTCACACTTCTGCGTATCCTAATTCCTTATGAGTTGCGCATTGACATTTTTTTCACACGCAGTCGTACGCACAATACGCACCTCATATGCATCTCTATCGTTTTGTGTAAGTTTTATATACGCAGGCATACGCATGGTACGTCCCAGTACGCTGGATAGTTTTGGGCATGCACAAAACTACGCTGCGTACGCTGTTACGCAGGTCATAAGTTATAAATACGCAGCGCATTGGTCCCGCATCGGTCGAGCGCGGTACGAGTACGCTATGTGTTCGTGGGGGATAAGCCGTTCATACGCGGTAATACGCTGACCTCCTATATTGGACGTATACATAGCGTGCTTGTAGCGCAGATACAACGCACGCTGAACGAACTCATATCGAATGCCGACGTATTGCACGAATTAGTACCGCTCGTCCTGCGAGCGGGCAGCGCATTGTACTTATTCGTAACTTATGATAAACGCACAGATGGCGAACTTGCGCACTGCATACGCAAATCATACGCATCTCATACGCAGTGGATGCGCTGAATTCGTAACTTTATCGCTAGATGTCGCACATAAGTCAAAGTAATCAAAAAAATTCGACGTTTTTAATCGTACGGCTGCTTATTGAAAATTGTTGATAAGAACTCATAAGGAATTGGGATACGCAAAAGTGTGACAGGGGCTTAACATTATGAAGCACTTGTTTCCAACTAATCTCCAAGAAAGTGTCTCCCTTCTTCCAATATTTTCACAGTTATAAGATAAAACCTGTATTCGTATGCTTCTGTTGCAGGTGTTCACGGGTAACACTGATCCCTACAACCCGGTCACTAACATGTTTGATGAGAGTGTGGTGGCGACCATAGTGCGCATTGAGCCTACCGAATGGCATGAATGGGTCCGTCTGCAATTTGAGTTGCTTGGATGTCGCCGTGATTGATTGGGCTGAATCAGTGGTATTTTGATCTTTCGTTTTGGCAAGATGGCATTACAATATACATTTGACCTAACGCATCAAGGCAGAGCCAGACGGCAATGGTTTGGTACCGCTTGGACAGGCATGAATAAACCATTGTGTATTAGTGTTACTAGATTAAAACAACAAAGAACACATCTGAGATAGCTGGAAGGCATAAGGTCTATGACAACATGGGTGCGATAGAACTATGACCTCTTTTGGTGATATTCAAAGAGGATAATTCAATAAGGTCGTGACAGTCATACTAATGAACATACTGTGAAATACGTAACCACTGAATAATATGCACAAGATTCGGAGTCCGGGGTTCCAATTATTGGGTAACAAATGTTAACCGTTTGAAATCGATTCGATTAACCATAGCGCATACAGGTAATTATGACCAAATAAGCCATATGATATGCCATAGCACAGGTGGATGCCTTTTTCCCCCAAGAATTCTTTCGAACAATTTTGGCTTGAAACTAGCGTGTGTTTTGAAATTGAATTTCATTTTTGATGTATTAAGCTTATTTAGCGTTTGTCGTTGAATCTCGCTGTTGTAAAAAAAAGCTAGAAATTAGATAACAGTAAAAGCAAACGAACAGAAACACTAACAAACAAACAAACAAACAGCCCAACACCCCAACAAACAAACAAACAAACAAATGAAAAACAGGGGAAAAACAACAAAAAACAACGGCTCAACCAAAACGCCTGAACAATAAGCCTATATGAACTGATGACGTCGCACTCTGTTTACATGTGTGCTTTCATATGGGAACCTGGTTGTGATGACGGTTTCGTAGAACCACAGAAAAGCAAACACTAAATAAAGTGTGATATGCCATCAGTACGGATGCAGATTCATGCTGACTGTCAATTGAAATCAAATTATAAGTTTCGGTTGACCTTAGTTGTGAGCTAGACATACATTTCAATACAATTTGTATATAGAGAATCCTTGTTCGCATAAATATTTTGTAAATACTTGTACCGTATAAACACAGTGTTAGCAAATCAAATTTTATCTTTAATTATCATTAATTATTTCAATGCACCAATATTAATAATCGTGGCACTAAATATGACAAATTTAACTATTAACGCGTTCAAAATTACGCAAAACAAAAATGCGTTTGAACATCGCTGAGTTGTGTGCTTAGTGTGTAAGAAAAGAAAAAAAATACTCATTTTAAAATTGTGTTAGGTGAAAATGTTCATTTCCGTAGAGGTACTTAACACCTTTTTAGTATGAGAGTTTGTCTCAATCTTTTGAGGGTATTTTAAAACCTTTCGGTCCAGATGTTATCGTATTACTCCTTATTTATTTTTTTTCTTGATAACAGTTTAAGTACAGTTATACTTAAATTTTATGAAATTGTTTAGCTCTGTATAATTGGAATTCGTAAAGTCGGGGAATGCAATGTCATGGTACTGATATGCAAACTCAATATCTGGAATAATATTTCATTATTTGAATTCAACAAAAATGTCTCGACACTAAAGTGACAAATGTAATATCTAACGCAGTCAAAATTACGACATCAATGTACCTGAATTCGTGATTGTTGTTCTGCTTTATACGCCTTAGTAATCGAGAAAGAGAAGAACATGTAAAAACTGTATTCGGGGACAAAGTTCAATATTGAAGGTCGGTTCATTCTTCACGCGAATGCAAATGGAAAGTGAATTTTAACAAGTGAATTTACAAGATTAATGTGTTCAATTTTTTTTTCATATTTCGCAGCACGAATACTTGCCGTGATGTCACATTTTTACGTTCGCATTCGCTTTTGTGGCGAGTGTTAACCGGCCTTTACGCAGGGCTCGTCAACAGTTCGAGTGTGTTAGTTTCAATCATTTCGAATGATTGTAACTCCAATAGATTGTCGGTTCAAATATGTTTGTTTTGCTCATTTAAATCATTATTTCCAAAAAAATTAAATATATAAAACAACGACATGTAATTATTACCAAATACGCCATATGATATGGCATAGCACAGGTGTGTTTTTCAAGAATTCTTTCGAAACATGTTGGCTTCAAAATAGCGTGTGTTTTGAAATTCAATTTCATTCTTGATGAATAAAGCTTAATAATTAGCACTTGTCGTTGGACCTCGCTCATGTAAAAAAAAGAAGAAGCTAGAAGGTAGCCTTAGGTAACAATAATTCAAACGCACAGATGTACAAACAAACACATAAAAACAGGAAAAAAACAAAACAAACACAACGGCACAACCAAATCACCTGAACTGTAGGCCTATATGTACTGATGACGTCGCACTTTGTTTACGTGTGTGCTTTCATATGGGAACCCGGTTGGGATGACGTTTTCGTAGAAGCACAAAAAAGTGCACACGTAAACAAAGTATGACATGCCATCAGTGCGGGATGCAAATTCGTGTTGACTGTAAATTTAAATCAATTATAAGTTTCGGTTGACCTTAGTTGTGACCTAGACATACATTTCAATACAACTTGTATATAGAGAATCCTTATTCACATAAATATAATGTAAATACTTGTGACGTATAAAGATAGTGTAAGCGAATCAGATTTAATCTTTTAATATCATTAATTATTTCAGTGCACTAATGTGAAAAATTTTGGTACTTTTAAATATGACACATTTGACAATTTAACGCGTTCAAAATTACTCATAACAAATGCGTTTGAACATCGCATTAGTTGTGTGCTTAGTGTGTAAGAACAAAAAAGTACTCATTGTGAATTTGTGTTCGGTGAACGTAGAGGTACATAACACCTTTTTAGTATAGGAGTTTCTTTCAATCTTTTGGGGGTATTTTAAACCCTTTCGGTTCAAATGTTATCGTAATACTCCTTATTTCGTTTTTTTCTTCTTGAAAACAGTTTAAGTACAGTTACACTTAAATTTTATGGGTTTGTTTAGCTCTGCATAGTCCGAATTCGTTAAGTTGGGGAATGCAATGCCATGGTACTGATAAGCAAACTAAATATCTGGAATAATATTTCATTATTTGAATGCAACAAAATGTCATGACACTGAAGTGACAAATTTCATATTTAACGCAGTCAAAATTACGACAACAATGCACCTGAATTCGTGATTGTTGTTTTGTATGATATGCCTTAGTAATTGAGAAAGAGAAAAACATGTAAACACTTTGTCCGGGGAAAAAGTTCAATATTGAAGGCGGGTTCACTCTTCACGCGAATGCAAATGCAAAGAAAATTTATCAAGTGAATTTGCAAGTTTAAAAGTGTTCACTTTTTTGAATTCGCAGCACGAATACTTGCCGTGATGTCACATTTTCAGGTTCGCATTCGCTTTTGTGCCGAGTGTGAACCGGCCTTTACGCAGGGTTCGTCAACAGTTCGAGTGTGTTAGTTTCAATCTTTTAGAATGATGGTAACTCTAAGACATTGTCGGTTCAAATATGTTTGTTTTGCTCATTTCAAAAAATAAATAAATAATTAAAGCAAAGACACTAATGTTTTTATAAAAGTGTTTAGCTTTATAAATTCGGGACCCGTAAATGTGTTGAATACATGGCATTGAGGACCTGGACCGTGACAAGCGCGGATCCAAAGAGGGGTTTTGGGGGTCGAACCCCCTTCCCTGTCTTGACACACACAAACATATACAAATTTTATTAAAAATAATCATCTATATGTCTGTCTGTCTGTCCGCAACAATCGGACATGAAAGCAATCTAATGGGTATGATCCCCCTTGTCAAAAGTCCTTGATCCGCCCCCGCTGGAGCAAGGGCGGATCCATACCAAAAATTTTTTCGGGGGCCAAAATAAATTGGTCCACCAAAAAGTGGGTAAAAAAAAATTACAGCGTGGGGTTCTGGGCCCGCTCAAGTGCCCCGATTTTTTTTTAGGGGGGAAGGGGGAGGGGGGATACTAGATGCTCTGTAGTGGGATCTGAGGCAATTTCTGACCACTATAATCAATTTTTTTTTGATAAAAGATGATGGACGCAGAGCCTGCCTTCATTGCGACGTCACTTAACAAGAAAAAAAATGGGTTCGTTTAATATTTTTATTAGTTTTTTGGGGGGTTAGCCCCCGTCTTCCCCAATCCGCCCTTTTGCTGGAGTAGTAAAGCCTGACAAATTGTTCGCTCTTGGTACGAACAGTTCTTTAACGTAAAATCTAATTGCAATCTGCAATATTAATTTTGTGCGGATTGTAACTCGCTGCATATCGTTTTCTATAGATTCATTGCTTCTAGTGTTTATGGGTTAGCCATATCTAGACAAACCTTGATTGCTTCACGGGTTGTTTATTACCGGAAGAAGCTTTAGTTCCCATCCGGTGCCGCACATTTACATATCGATTTCTGGATTTTTAAGACGATATTTTGTTAAATCGAAAACGGCACAATCAGTCAGGATTTCTCATTGGTTCATGCATTACCCGCTTTCATGCGCTGCTCACGGTTTCCTGAGATATTGCTCAAAATGGAGCAGATCAAAATCATAGTATTCAGCCCCAACTATAGCATAATTATTTCACTGCGCAGAGTAATAAGTTAGCTGTTCCGGCAACGAGCCGAAATTGTCTAGTGTTTTTCCCCTCTTTTCTCCATAGATTTCGTACACGTTTGCTAATACAGACAACTTTTTGCACTTTTACGAAGACGATTGATTTGTAAAATCGATTTGTAAAATTGAGTTGTTAAATCGTTCAATTTTTTCATACACATATACTACCACCGGAACACGATTACCGAACACTGACGTAATGATAACATCATCATGTGCTCCCACGTTGTCTATGGTGTACATCGAGCATTTTCTTGAGTTCCTTTTCCCTTTTCCTTTGTTTGTACACTAACTTTTTCGAAACAGCTCTCATTGTTTTTTTACACGTTTTCTAATCGAGGTCATCCTTGATTTGGTTCCTGTCGTCGATTCACCGATGATGTTGCACATGTGTGTCCTCGATTTACACCACAAGCAAACGCCAAGTAACGTAACATTAATTGCGATTTTTTAAGCCCTTTATCT